TAAAAGTAGTTAAATTCTTATGATCATACATTTAGTTAAATTAAATTAAACTGTGAAGTCAGAAAAAAAGTTCTTATTGATGATTTATTTATTTTAAAATGCACAATAAAATATATTATAATTAGTAATGTATTTATGGTTTACATCGCTCTATTGCACACCATCCCGTTTATGATTTAGTAATTTTATTCATAAAAGGAGTTAAGTAACTCATTTGTTTATGAAAAGGGTCAATTAAAACTGCTTTTACTGTTGGTTAAAAAACAAATTTGAAAAATGTAACTAAGTTTTTAGTGCATAAGAATTAAAAACATTTTTTATAATTTTTTTCAAGTAAAATTGTAACTACGTGAAAAACAGTTACTTTTAATTTCCCAAAAGTTTACCTTTTTGGACTACACCCTTTTCATGAATAATCCGATTATATATCGAATAGATTATTATAATCTATTCGAATTCAGTATCTTATTCTAAGAAATTTTGTATACATTTTGTATACACAGGGGAAGTGGCCCTGGCTCTTATGCTTCTAAAGGTAATTATCAATAAATGTATTACGGTCAAAACTCCTTCGGGAAACGACCAAACGCTATTTCGGTAAAATACCTCAATTCGGCGAATAACGATGATTCGATCATCAAAGTTTTGGAAACTTATCTTGTTCTCGGTAAACCGCTCGTTTGGTACTAAAATCAACAGTCGACGGACTTGCAATATGAATAGAATACCGTGGAAATATAGATCTATAGGCCTCGGCCTATAAATCAAATATCGTACCCACAAAGGTACTTTAGTGGGCCAAAAATTGTTGTTTTTTAAAAAGTTTTCATAGAGTATGGTCGCTTTCAAGGAACCCAAAGTCCACTAAATTATTTACAACTTTACCACAGAAAGGGTGAAACATTGTGTCTAAGCCAACTGTGTGAATTATGAATATTATCATTAGAAAGGTGGGCACGGAGAGCGGGGCACGTGTCCACTGAGACCCACCCCCCCGGCCACCATAGTGGTTTTCTTCGAAGGGTACGACATTATTATTATTTAAAAGGGTTGTTATCATTATTATCACAATAGGTTGTTAGCTAAAAAATAATATATTGTCTTTCGCTGTCGCATATTGTTGTATAGGCTTGTTTACTTTTATCATGAGTAAATATTTTTCGACCAATAACCCGGTTAACCTTCTTTTTTTTTTTTTACTATTAATAAATAAATTATTAGCAGAAACTTGGACGTCGTTCAAAAACGCACGATTATTAATGTTAAAAACACATTGTCCAATAAAGGGCGTGGTTTTTTTTCGTCATGAATGTATTGGCAAAGGATCGATATACATATTATATACATGTATACATAAATACAGAATTGACTATTTAAAGTATTTTAAAAAAATGTATAGGAAACACTGAAAACGTATAAAATGTCCAAAACGTGTTTTTATTAATTTCATTTAAATTCATCGCCGTTATCTTGAAAATGAATTTAACCGAACAAAGTAACTTAGTCTAGTTAAAAATTATTTGAAAACTATTTCCAAAGTTTGCAGTTAAAAGTTTATCGTGTAGTTTTTTTATAAAAATATTTATATGCAATAACATTTCCTAATATATTATGTTCGGATATGAAGTTTTTCAAAAGTCAAAACGTTTAAGATTGTTAATTTATCATAAAAAAAAAAACACAAGAGGAAAGTATAGTTGTTCAGAGGTGTTTTTCAAATTAAGGAGCTGAGAAGGTATTTTAGTAATGATGGGGTTTTTTTTTTAGTTTGATTTTATTGAATGGAATATTCGTTAGATAATTAAGTATATTATCGATAAACGTCAGCTAATAAAAAAAGACAGTACATTGGGATATTAGTGGGGGGCTGTGGTTAGTAAGTTCAAACCAAGTACAGTCTAAACCAATACAGTGTATACCAAGCACAGTATAAACTTGTCCAGTAATGTAGTGGGTTTAGATGTATTGTAAAATAACATTTTATATGAAATTCAGATAACGATTTTAAGCAACTTTTCGAGTGGGTATAGCTAAGTTCCCGTCTTAAAGAAACCCTAGGAAAATAAATTTTTTTTTTTTTTTTAAATCTTATTAATGTTTTGCGTGGTTGTGTTTAGGCCACAAAAATATTTAAAAACGTTATTATGGCCGCTGTTGTACGGATAAATATACCTACACATATATTTAAGATTAAGACCAAAATTTTTGCAAAAAATATCCTTTGCCAAACCACTTTATAAGTATTGATGTAGAGTACACTTAGTGTGGACAATTCGCAATTATGTTTAATACTAAACATTTCAACAAACAGACATCCGACGATGTTTAATAAAACTTTGCACGTAGAATGTACAATATTAATTCATTATACTACGTTCAGGTTAAAACTTTTCTAATTAAACCACGGCCTTCTTAGAAAATGTACTATCTCAAAGTCTGTACAGTAGTCAAATTATGACCCCTGAACAGGCTTTGATAGATGTTCAAAGAAGAGTCATTATTTCGGTCTACAACACTCAAGGCAAACATTCGGGTCGGGTAGGTATTGATTTGGTTGAACTTTAAACAAAGTTTGGAGGAAAATATGTGGACCCATCAGCGATGAATACTGTAGGGAACTGTCAAAGGAGATATATCAAAGAGTTGCACTGTCACCAGAAACAAGCTTTGTTAAGGGCCAACGGATACAATGGCTAGACCACATAATGAGGAAAGGAGACAATGAAACAGTTAGAATGCTTTGGAATGGAAATCAGAACCAAAGAAGACCAAAAGGAAGACCCAGAAAAAGATGGATTGACGTGGTAGAAGAAGAAAATGAATAGACTTCGTCAACATTTCCTATAACTAATTTTGTCTTAGATATTGCCTATATAAAACCCCTTAAAACCACCCATTTTTTTCAATTCTTTTAATTAGGACAGGATAGACTACCCGCTTTTTATTCTCCATAATACTAAAAATACAATTTTAAGAGCATTATTGAAACGTTTTTTTTTTTTTATAACTACTTTCAGTTAAGTTATTAGTACTTTGAGTACATAACTTTTCAGGGCGACTATAATATTTTGTAAAACTAATACATTTTTAAAAAAAATTAAGTTCAACTTTTCCCGTAATTTGTCCTTTATGTAGTCAAATGTGTATGTAGTTTATTTCTTAGTCGGTCAGAACAGAGACCACCTTAATTGAAGCATCCAACTATCTAACACTTAAAGAAATGACAATCAGCTGGGTCGCCAGTTTGATTGATGACTGATGATTTCCACTTGTTCAGCTGTAGTTTTATGTGCTGCTGTTTGGTTATATTAATTTTAATAATTCCAACAGTTTTTCAAGTAATTTTCAACGATGCTTTTATTGCTATAGCGTGTACTATTAGTTTTGATCCATTATTATTAGTTTTGAGATATCAATCAATTACATACACTATCACTCATGAGTCTACTTGAGTCATCAATCTACTTGAATGACAGTAAAAAAATCAAACATGTTTAAAACTCATAATTCAAAAACTTTGATTGTCAACCGTCGTTATTCGTCACAATGCAACACATACATTTTCAAAAGTAATAAAATATAAATAGGCAGATTGGCAGGCGACATTTTTTTTGTTTTGTGATCAGAATAATGTGTTAAAATATTAAATTTTAATGCATTCTAAGAAATATTATTCACAAAAAAAAATGTCTAAAAATGACGCAAAGAATTAAAAAATATAATAAAAATCTTAAGATTATTTATTGCATAAAAAACTATGAAGAAATAATAAAATTGAACGAAAAAAACTAAATTATATGTTGACCAACAAAAGCAGTGCAATGACAAAATAATATAGTAACTTCCGTTTGGGAAAAATAAGAATTTATCAATGAAGTGTATCGAGTGCTATTTGAGTTCTAAAAATAACATTAATGTTATATAATCTTACGTCGTCTTCCAGTTATTTACCAGGAACACAGACTAATCAGTCGATGATAATAATAAATATTGATCGTTTTTATTTTTATACTTTTGCCTTATTATAATTGAATTCTGGGCCTCTGTGCGGCCCTGGCCATAATTGAAGTACCTAATCAATTTATTGTTAATAGTTTTTCAAAAACGCAATTTAAATTTAGGTAATTCGACCCTTTTATATGGTTAAACAACGAAAACCGTGCCCGGCACATTTTTTTTTCAATTAATTTATACTCACTTGCGCTATAAACACTACGGTATGTATGTAAAAAAAACATTGCCAAGAACAAAAGCCATTTCGTCTGTCAGGTTTTTGTGGGACACTTAGCTGTCGCGTTTGCGGATTGGGCTATTTTTTTTCTTTTCTTAAAAACCGCCACCTCCAGCGTTAGAGAAACCGTTCGTCCGTAGAAGTGTTTTAAGCAGTTAGCAGTTGTGCTTATAAAGGTAGTCACTGTGTATATAATATTATAGTATCGATTCGTTTTATTTTTTTTTTTGGGGGGTTTTGTACCAACTCAAAACCGCGGTGCGCGCAATCATTTTTCGGCGAATTTCAGAGGTAAACAGGCAGGTAGGCGGGCGAGCGGGAGGGCGGACCGCCGAGATTGCCGTTTGTTATGTCAATACGCCGGGGGTGGGGATTGGAGGGGAAGGGAGGGGAGGGGAGAAAAATCAAAGGGAATATTGTATTAAATAATCGCCGCGCTATTATTCGGGGTCGACCGTAGAATTTAATACATAATATGACAATAGGGAAATTCGAGGGCGTCGGACCGCGGTGTAATTATATTAATATTGTGCAGTGTGTGTGTGCAGTGTTTTATAGAGGTGTAGGCGCACGGTATAGCGCGGGAAATCCGACGTTGACGAATGCTTACCGTATACGCGGTATACGGTATGCGTGCGAGGGGGAGAACAAAAGCGGCGGCGGCGGCCACAGGGACGGGCGCGGGGCGGGTGACGGCGCGGTAAAGTTTTGCCCGTGTGTGTGTGTGTGTGCGTGCCGCTCGTTTGTAGGCCGTAGTGCTGTACGGCGAATCGTCCGGCGTACACGTTGAGCGCGCGCTTGTCTACCCTGTACACGCCGTCGACCGGCAGCCAGCGCAGCCGCCTGTAGTAATACACCGGTACACAACGTGGGTCGTTTACCTTGCCCGTCAAAAAACCAAAAACACCACCACCACCCCAGTTTACCTTAGTAAAAAAAAAAAACAACCCATAAATCCGACACAATTCAAACGGCCGCAAAGTATTGCACAACAGCATCTGAAAAAATGGAAAATTTGGACGTCAACGTCGTGCTCAAGAGGATTCCGGAGGTAAAAAGACAAAAAAAAATTTTCAGATAACGATATTAGTTTGTTATAATATAATATTATTATGTTTAACGTGACATTAGAGTTTGATGTAATACCTATCGGTTAATAAAATGACGTGTTATACCACTGGGAACGCGTTTAGAGTATAGTTAAGTCAAATCCTAAAGTAAACAAACCGTTTTGGAGGGGAAACCGCCGTTAAGTATCCTTTTTGCAAAATTTAATTAAAAAGTTACAACTGTTTGAAATTAAAAGGGTTTTCCAAAATGTTAAATCGTAAGATTTAGTGTGTGCAAAATAGACTACGTCATTTTCTTGTGCTGTGGGCTCAGTAAAATAAGATAAACATTTTTTTTTGAATAGCTGTCAACAATGTAGCGATAGAAATAAATTAACTGCCAAAAAAATAGTGACACATCGTAGTTTAACCTTCAAATTAAGATTTTGCTATAATCCTACCTAACTCCTTAATAAAAAAAGAGGATATTACGTTTTCTTAATATTAGTTTCTTATAAGTACCTAATTAAATGGACAATTTGGAAAAGGAAACACCTCAGATTTAAATTTGTTATCACCAATTTATTTATTTTTTATTAAATTTGTCTGTTTTCCCTCCAAAATATAGAGTACAGCTTTTAAGGATAAAACGTTTGACGTTTTTCAAAAGTCATAGTTTAGTTTAGAAAAAATTGTATTAGCTTGATTTTCGATAGAAACTTTTTCTATTTTTTTTCTTTCCACCGAATTCAGATTTAATGCGGGATTTTTAGTGTAGCGTTTAAATTTAAAATAAAACAATAAATGTTTGTTTTTTGTTTTGTAAGTTTTAACATTGGCAGTCACTTAGAAAACGTGCCTGAGAAAATTTAAGTTAATGAAAATTCAAAAGTATACATTAAAATCAAAGTATTATTATTTACCCCACTGACGGAATATGAAGTTTTCAAAACTTTTTCTCTTTAAATATAAAGCGCCAGAATAGTTTAACGCGCAAATCCATTATTTCAAGAAATAGTCAGTTATCATTTTTTAAATGCCTATTCCAAAAAATAAATAAGTTTGCCGTTTAGTGAAGTAATTTTTTTAGGGTCAAATATTAATCTCCAAAAAAATTAATCTTTATGGCAAGACCGTAAGACTCCATACTTATTATTTTTTTTTGTTAATATTTACATAATATCAAAATTAAATAATTTCATCCAAACACACTTGAAAACAAAATTAAGATTTTTTAAAACAAATATACGTACTGAATCCATTTTTTTAGACGGTTAAATTAGATTTTTCACCACATTTTTCTTGTGAAGAATTTTTAATTTTTGTTTAAAACTAGGTTTTATGACATTTAAACGTGTATGTGACTTGTGAATTCAGTAATTTAAAATTAGGTTTGAAAATTGTCTTGTCTGATGAATTCAAAACTGTCACAGAATTTTTATTGGATTTTTAATAGAATAAAAATATGATTTAAAGTAAAAAAATATTTGGCTTCACACTCATGTCGAATAAACCGTAAATCTTACCAAAGCTTTGTTTGTAAGCTAATCTGTACTTAGGATCAATTTTTCTTCCTGTGACTTTCTTTCGCAAATGAGCTTAGCAGTTTTTTGCATTTTCTTTTAAACTCTGTGATAACGTTTACAAAACTCTGGAACAGCAACCACCGTAAATCTTTTTGGACGGTTTTTACATATTATTATACTTATCTAAGCGAGTTTTAGGAAGGGCTGCATGTTTATAAGCCAAGGGGGAACGCCCGAGTACCCTTAAGCACCTCTCATCTGCCTCTCCCCGTTAGGCCTATATAAATGCGATTTAAAACTTTTATCTTACCAAAGTTGTAAAAATCACAGGTCGTTAAACGTAAATGTGAGCAAATAGTGGCAGATCTGTATTCGAGATCCAAAGAGTTTTCAGTTGGGAATCAACACAAAACTCATAAAAAAAATATATATATATAAACCACAGCATTTGTATCTTGTGTAAAGTACTAGTAGCAGACTTGCCCCATCCCAAAAATAAGAATTTCGATGAAAATTGTTTGTATTTGGTATTGTAAGACGTCATGTCATTTACTATACATTTCTATAAGCTATAATGTGTATTACATAAGTAGAGTTTTATCAAAGTTTTTGTATATACTTCCATACGTATGGGGAATCTTTCATATTCGTGTTTAAAGTTTAGTGCTATAAAATGGGGGCTGCTATTTTACCCTTCTAATAAAAATTTTAATTAATAACTATTATTTAATTTCTTGGGTGGTTTATGCTTTTAAACATTATATCACAAATAACTGTCCAATACATTTGTTTTTAGCTTAACTCCTTTTAAACCAATTCATTTATTATATATCAAACTTGTGCCATCACTTTTGTGACTTGTTTGTACTACATAATCATATTATGTTGACCCAAAGACACATTAAAACCAAAAAATAAAAATATTTGTTTTTTAGAACTTTCAACCGTACAAAAATACTTGTAGACTACAATATTATTGTCAGTGTTGTGGTCTTACTTTTTTTTATAGAAAACTATAAATTTAACAATTCATATGTTTAGTGGTTGGTTTTGGTGGTTTTTGTGTTTGGGTTTCTTAAAAGCATAAAGGACCTTTATTGTAAAATCGCAATTTACTCGGTTAAACTCTGAATTTTGAAATCTGAATGATAATATTTATGGTAAAAAAAATTGTATTAAAATATACGTATATTAAATCTAAAATACATTCGAATGAATTCATACATTTAAAAAGATATTCAAAAACGAGTGTTTATCCGCAAAAAATGCCTACTTGGAAACATTATGGAAACGTTCGCATTGCTTTCTGAATAATCTTTTATACATTTTCTCTGAATTCGATATATATATATAAATAAAATATAAGTATGGACTTCAACAATATCGTATAATTTATACAGTTATATGTTTGCCGAAAACTCAAATGAACTCAGATAGTTCTATTTTGAATCACTGAAATAAAACTGTTTTATGTCTTTATTTGTGTTTACTTGTATTGCTGGGAATATTATTTATTTTCAATGATATATTATAAATATAAAATATTATCTACTTAATTATTTCAAAAATCACAGTTTTCAAATATTAAATATCATCATTCTTTTAATATACAATTATTTTTTGGGGAGGGGAAAATCGCAGAGATATCATGTTATTGTTATCTAACCTTATACCATAACCTAAATTGAATATTTTTTATTAATTATGAGTTTCAGCACATTTTTTCCAGACGAACTCGGGCATTGTTTAATTTTCAATTAAAAAAAACTTATATAATGAATACAGTTTTATATCTAAATTACAATTGAATATTCATTTCAACTAATTTAAATAAATTAAAAAGAAAACTATTGAAATTAATTTCAAAATTACAATGTCACCTCTAAATTTTACCGTCTTTAAATAGCAAATACAAATTTATATAACATTATAAAATATATTTCATAATGTATTATAAATTAAATGATAAGTCCTACTTTTATACTAGACGGAAATATAACAGTAGAGGATAGATTGACATTGGTAACGGCTTTGAAAGTATTATACAATTAGTTTCTCCTTTTTATACATAAAAGTTAAGGCGAAAATCAATATTATTTTGTAGTGTACAATAATAGTATCGTATATTACTAGTTAAAAATATCTACACTTGTTTTTATGTATAAAAAAGGTGTAATATTATTAACGACTGATGCGAAAAATCTATAAACAATAATACCTTATGTAAAAGTTGTCGCATTATACATTTCACGAACGATATTATACATCTTGTCTTGGCCGTGAATTGTGTTTTGGCTTACAAGATTAAACATTGTAGTTACCTAGTACCTATTTAACAATTCTTATTAATCTATTTTTTTGTTTTAGGAAAAAAAATTATATATAATTAGTAAAAAATGTAAATAATTTCAGTGATCGACCAACGTTCTATAAGAGTATTTTTAACCTAAATATTATATATTTGTATTATTATTATTGTTCTTATAATAATTGCAGCAAACGGTAACGGGTTAAGTCAAAATTAATTCAATTGTCTTTATTTTGTCAGTTTTATATACTGATAAAATATGTTTTTAAATTAGTTCACAGCAATAAGTATAAGTTACTCGAAGAGATAATAATCAAAATATTATTTTTCCATCGCTTATCATTCACCGAAAATTGCCCAGTGTAAAGTATTATTATTTGTAAAATTGTCTAATATGGAAATATTAGGTTTACCCAAAATATGACCTCTACATTATTACAAAATACTCGTTTTAGGGTCATTTCATTTGAAATCAATACGATATTTTGTTTTGTACTTGTTATCAATATTCTAAAATTTAAAAAAAAAATTTAAAGAATTATGTATAGCATATACTGATTTTTTGTTTCCTGTACTTACTAATACTATAAACGTAAATTTTACCTAATTTTATTTGATATTATGTGAAATTGACATAATATAATTTTCTATTTTTTAAATTCATAATATCATATTGATTAATCCAGAAATAAACTATATAATTGAACACATGCAATTAAAAAAAATAGTTTTTTAAAAAAATACCCAACGATATTCGCGCATTTTTCTTCCATCACAATACTGAAAAGGTTGAGATCATTTTTTTTTACCCTAATTGAATAAACCTTTAGACATTATAATTCTATAGTAAGATAGGGTTAGTTTTTTAACTAATAATATTTCTTTGTTTTACACCCATATTTACACTATGTTTCTCCCCTCAAAAACTATTAACTTATTTATAAAAAATAAACAGAATGTCATTTAAAAACCGTCGTTTTTTTTATACAAATTTTGTATTTTTTTGGTCAAAATTCTGACATTATTACCTGTTAACCTATTTCATAAATAATATTGATTAGTTATTTAGAAAAGTTTACTAAGAATAAAAACTATAACCGTAGTTTTTTTCCAACCAAACGTTATGTCCTAAAGCTTATATTAAGTTTAAAAAAAAAATAGGTTTCCATTTTAAATCTTTCAAGTGGTATAAGCTGAAAATGTTAACAATCGGCTTTATTGTAATTTTTTTTTATCAATAAGGACAAATTATTTTTAATATACATTTAAAAACTCAAAACGAACTGAAAATATTATTGTTGTAGATTTGACATGGAATGACACTTATAATATATTTTAGTTGTTAGTACAAAAATGTATAAACCGGAAGTTAAAAAATTTTTTATAATACAGGTACAATTTAATGTTTTTTTTATTGGGATCAATTCGGTTTAAATAACGATAAACATTTTTTTTGAAAATCGATTTGTTGACAATAATATTTCAGGTAATCGTTCTCGTCTCGATAAAGCAATGGTTTTTTCTTTTTATAAACACTTTTAGACACACGAGATATTCAGCAAAATATTCCTTTCAAGTCAAGTAGTCCTAAACTCTTGATACACTTAATTATATTATATTAACGCGATAAACTGAAGTATTCTCTGTTTACAAAGTATTAAATTATTAGTATTTTTATTTTTTTTCTATTTTGTTGATAACAAAGCAAGTCGTACTTCATAAGTTGGTATAAATACAGGTTTTATGGAATTATGTTTTTATCTTGGGAATGTGTGATGAAAAAAGTTAATCATGCCCTAATTCCTGTGAAATTTATCATGCTATATTTCCTGTAAAATTATCTTACAATTTTATACGTGACAAAACAGTGATATTTATTGCTATAATCAAACTTGGGTGTAATTGTAATAATAATTTGAATAATTATACTACAAATTAAAAGAATGTATTAAAATAAAATCTCGAATATAGGTAATAATTATATTTTTATTCAACCAAAGCTGTGAGTAATAATTTCAAAAAGGTTTTTATTTGAACAAATTTAAATAACAACAAAATAAAAATTAGTAAAACTGAAAATGCATTTACATAATTCCCAACTAAAAAAATATTTTTTAAATGCCTAGAAAACGTTTGCATATTAAAAAATGTAAATTCTTAACGGTAACTTAATTTGTACGCTTTAAACCAGGCTTTATCCTTAATAAACCTCCTTAAATATTGTAACTAAAATATTAACAGTTATTTAAATGTGTAATGTTATAATATATTGTAATTAACGTTGTTTCGTTTATCCACGCTTTATTGTTATATTAAACATTAATGTGGTATTATACAACACAGAATTATTAAAAAACCATTATAAAACGATAAAGTATACTTGACGTCTCCTCGTGAAGAATTCCTAATATCTACTAAACGACATGCCATTGTGGGTTTTTTTTAATATAATATATTATATTTTCCTTTTGGGTGTATATTAAAAAACCAATAAAGGCATTTTTAGGCGTTGCACTAATAATAATATTATAATAGCTGTTCATACCTACTCAATTTAGTGAACTAAAATAATACTGAAAGAAAAAAAATTCGTGTAAACTCATGAAAATACCTTTATTATACCTGAAATTGAGTTAACTATTATTTTTATATTTTTCTTTTTACCAAACAAACGTTTCTTACTATTTCCAACTAGTTATGACGTTTAATCTTGGAGATGTGAATGCTGAAGTGTGCAGCGGCTATAAAACGGGTACACTAATAAATTAATATATAAAAGGAAGTTTAAGTGTGGGGCCTATTGTTAGGTTATTATTATTTTTTTATCAAAAGGAAGCGAGTGAGTTTATTGCCGGAATGTATAAGTGTTTGTGTAGTGAATCTTGTAGAAATATACCGCCACCGACATACAAGTCGCAGGCGAGTATTGATTCGAATAATATAATGTTTATCTACTGTTTATGGTTGGCTTTGCTCTGCTCCCATGCCGAGTTACTTAAAAATTATAACATTGATCTGAGTAATGGAATGCAAATAACATAGTCTTGACAGAACGATAAAATCGACATTAAAAAACAATACCTACTTTTATTGAATTACAATTTTTTACATTATTGCGTTGTATTTTTGTTTGTTTTTTTACCTAAATTTTAAAAGTTATTTTGTTATGCAAAATGTCAACATTTATGTTTTGTACTAATTTAATGAAATAGGTGGACTTTTTAAAATTGTAAATTATGAATCAAATTATGATCCGAAAAACAAAATATATAAACTGGCAAAAGTGCATAATAAAAAATATTGCTGTTTACCTAAGTAATACCTAAGTTTTTTACAAAATTTAAAATTTATGACTTGTGTCGATTAAAACTTTAGGTAATGTTTAATTAAATTTGTTTTATTCTTTATTTAGACATTATATAAATGGTTGTAACTTTTTATATCACAAATTATTTATTATATATTTCACAAATAGTTGTTGAAATACGATGAAATAAAAAGAATAAACGTTTTACCCATAATCGGATTACTTTTTAAAATACCTCAAAGGTATAATAAATTGTCAATACAGTATCAGTAAAATTTAAAACTATATAAATAAAAACTCACATAGCAAACACATTTTTTTTTAAAGGATTCATATAATATTTTCAACATAAAAACATGTTTATGTCTTTCGATAGCGTTGGTGTAAATGGTTGAAAAAACATCAGACACCTATATAAAAAATGTAAAAAAAAAATACACTTAGGTACAATGTTATAAAATGAAATAAGTACCTTCATTAAGTGCAATTAAATCGGTCAATTCAGCAAATGACATAAGTCATAAAACTAAAATTTTACTCTAACCGTATATTAGAACACAATTGTTACTCCTACATTTAACATTTTTTTTGCACTCATCTATTTTCAGCATTTGTTAATTTAAGTTAGTTTAACGCAGACATTTTATTAAAATCGTTGCACAACCTTGCGCCTTTTTTTCCTTAAACAAAATGATACTTAAAAACGCATTTATTACTAGTAAACATCAGAAGTGTAGACTAAAGTCCAGAATTCACAAAAAATACTAAAACCCAATGACTATTTAACGTAACAATATGTAAATATTAGTATGATATATTTTTTTTACAAGTAAACACATTGACTTATGTTGTTTTTGCAGTTATTCAGTTTCTTATGGGCAATATTTTCCATTAAATTTTAAGTAAATTTTGTAAAAACAACAACTTATGTATGACTCTTATTACATTAACAATACTACTATTTAGACACTTCGTTAGTGTTAATGTTTTAAAGTTGTTTTAGCCAATTCACTGATCAAAAATCGAAATCCAATACATTTTTATATCTTAAATAATAGTATCAACATTGTATATATTTATATATTTTGCTTAAAGTTTTTTTGTCAATTATTGCCACTCCTTCTACAATTGCTTATTACCGTTTCAACTGTTCCACTCAAGGCCTGTTGATAAATAGAAAGATAAATTATAGTCAACAAAATTACAAAAAAAATGTGTTCACCGGATGCAATGAGCTCACACGTTTGAATAAGGAATTGGGTGGACTTCTCGAGTGTTGTCGGCGATGTTTGCAAAGTGTATCATTTAATGATCTTTTTTTTTTGTAATTTTTTTTTTATAGGAAATGAGAGCTTTGCGCCTCAGACGTGACAAAGCCAAACGCGAACTGGCCGAGCTTGAAATGAAAGAAAAAGACGCCGTGAAGAAATTGATGGAAGTGACCGTGTTGAAGAAGAAAGAAAACGACGGTTAGTAGTGTTAGGGATTTCATTACAACGCCACGCCACGGTAACTTTATTTAGCAGCTAATAAAAGGATGTCTAATAAATAATAATAAAAATGCGGTCATGTCCACCGGGCAGCGTATTAAATGGGATTTGGACGGTGATGATCTCAGATAAACTAAATAAGGCCTGATTTCTTTTGTTGAAAAGATGACGAAATTGAATTTGTTGTTCGACGCTATAGTATCCGTACATAACAATCCCCAGGAGGAGGTAATGCTGTTATATATTTTTGGAATCGAAAAGAGATTCATTGTTTCCTGTGAATTAAAGTCGAGGGATAAGTCTTATAGCAGCTGATCATTGAATTAGCGTCATCGCGACACCGGAAATAGAATTGCAGGGGAGGAAAGATAAAAAGGGTATACGAAATTAGGGGTGGAATTAATAAGGCACTCCCGTTTTCTAAGATCTCTTGTACATGATTATTTAAAAGTTGGATCATAAATTATCAAAATATCCCTTAAATTATCCATTACCTTTCTTCTCCCTCCCCTCACATTTGAATTCACTGGAGATTAGTGATAAGGTGGATTAAAATAAAAATCAAATCGGAATATTCCTATTTTCTTTTGTAAAACACTTAACAAATTCCACATCTATTCTGAGACATTAGTCATGAATTCAGCAAAGTAAATAGAAAATAAAAAAAACTCTCTTATATTTATTTTAATAAACAGCTTTTTTTCTCTGAAAAACATTTTAACGGACAACTCACAGTAAGAACAACAAAAAACGGTGGGGTTTTTCACAACGCTGGAAGCGATTTAAAAAAAATAACGAAAGTCGCTAGTAAAATGCTAAGACCAAATTCGGTTCCAAGTCAAAAAAATAAAAAATAGATTTATTAAAATACACACAAAAAAGGTCAAATTTGACTGTACAACGCATATGTTAAAAATAAGGTCTTGGTGTTTATTTAAATTTTTTTTAAGTCATCCTTCATTTTCCAATATAACATATTATTATATATAATATAATATTATGTGCATTACAAGGAAGTACACAAATTATCCGTCTACTTTCACAATCCAGTCGTTAATTAAATTAATACAAGTTTATTGATAATACAAAAAAAAAACAAAGAACACCATTAACAACCGATGAATTGTCTTCATTTTCTCTTTTACTATACTCTCACTTTTTAGATAATAATTTTTAGCTATAAATTACATTTCAATACTTTACATAGTACTTATTATATTATATATAATACACTAGATATACCTATTACAAAAAACTTGCTGGTCTTATATATAATGTAGCATGAAAAAGATAATAATTACTTTAAAAATCAAATATCCAAATCTTTGTTAAATTGATTCAAAATAAAAAACCCTGATTTTGATTTTTAAAATCTAGCAATATCCCACTCTACGAACGAACAGGTTTGAATGCATTTTGAATATGGAGTGTGAATGAATGGATATTAATTGTATTTTTTTTACCTTTTGTTTTTTTCTAAGTATATTAATGATTTCGATCGACTAATTTTTGTCACCTGAATAAACTAAATGGAAAATTTCGCCATGAACATAAACGTGCGGTGAAATAGCCCAAATATATATTTTAGACTTAATAAAAAATAAAATTTTTTCTAAAATATATATATATTTTAAATTGCAGCCATATTGAAAGCTGCTCATGAAAGTTTGGGGGTGTTGGTCAAGAAAGTGAACGAACGCAAGACCAGGAACGATTACTTGATAAAGAAAATCAACAAAAAGCGCAACACCGATTTCGTTGCTGCTTCGCAGGACACAGAAGAAGCCATGTGAGTTAAATTAACATCTGTGAGCTGTTAACACAATAAGAGTAACGATATAATATTAATTTTGTTTTTTTATTTTTCACTATCGTTTTCAGAAACCACGCTGAAATGACAAGAGACATGATGGAGAAATTAAAAGAACAAACCGAAATTGTTGAAGTATAAAATTAGATTAGCAATCACTATTCACATGGTCTTAATCAAATCTGGGCAAACATTTTTAAACCGAACATTTTTTTTTAAAACTTAAATACATAAAATAACAATTTAACCAAAAAAAACTTTTCATATAACAGGTAAAATAACGTTTCAAAGTAATTATTAAATGTATATTTAAAATAATATAATATTTTTTAAAATTAATATAATTAAGAATAATAACAATAATTGAAGGAACAAACCGAAATCAATATTTTGGAAATTTTTTTTTGTTTGTCGAAAATAAATGTTAAAGTAAATCTGTTTAAAAAACATGTATATGTATACATACTAATATATGTTATTTAGATATTATAACACATGCATGTAATAATTATTAATTACAAAAAACAAAACTAACAAATTATTTGAAACCAGACGTGGGTAGTAGGTACCTATGTAAATAAATTCGTATGAATATTTGCAATTAAATAAATCTACTAATAAAAACTCTACTTAGGTACAAGTAAAACTTTAGTTTAATTGAAATTAATTTAACAAACATATAAACAAAAAGTATTTAACTTTACAACTTAAACGATTACCGCGAATTAACTTAAAATAATATTTTATCGACATTGGTAGGATTAAAATATTCCTATAAAATAACTTTATCTCATAACAAAAATGTATTTGATTTTATGTGCTATTTTTAAAATTTAAACACATAATTATTTTGCTTTTCATTTGTATTTAAAAAAATATTAAATAACTTAACTGAATTATTAAATGAAACTTAATTTGTTTTCAGATAAATTTGTTAAAAAAAAGTAAACTATTAATTGGTGTCAATAAAATATTATTTTAAATATAAAGTTTTACATATCGTCCCAAACTAGTTTTTATTTGAAATGGTAATTATAATTTATTTAAATTAAAACAAGTTTTGGTGCATTAAAACAACTATATACAAATAAATAATAAATTTACAACATTTTTTACTTAAAATTACGGCGCGCTATAATTTTTTTTAAAATATTCAAATTAAATTTTTAATTGATAGAGAATTTTCAGACCAAAAAAATTTCATAAACCTTTTCCCCTAGAAGAGGTGGGAACTTTATCTATTGTCCCTTTTCTCTTAGGTGAAGTTTTAGGGCTTGAGGTTTGAGTTTTCTCAATATTTATCATATTGTTTACCATCTACACATTCGCATTGAAGCGTTTTTATATATCTGTTGACTGTTGATTCACTCATACAATAAAAACTTAAAAATGTATTATGATCAAATTGTAATTTTCCCATTTTTTACATGCGTATGTTTTTGGGCTGAATACACAAAACAAATAAGTAATTTTTTTTTGGTTTTTCCTTAATAAAAGTTTGACTACAGACTTTCTAGGAAATATTATACATTATAACCACATTCAATATCTACATTCAGTCTAATTTTCAGACCTCAAACTCTAGAAAATTAATAAAACAAAAAGGTTGCATCTCGTCTAGCGGGATAGGGTTTTTGATACTATTTGGATTGTCAACGTTCATTGATACAGTTATTGTAGCTAATAAACTTCTCGCACAAATGTGATTTTAAGTTAAAAAATATGTTTTAGGTGTTTCTCTTGATTTGCGAGTGGAATAGAGATTAAATTCTGTGGCCTATCAGTTACAATTTCTGATCTACAGGATCTACATAAACAAATCGGTTCAGTAGTTTAATAGATATTGTCGGTTCAGACACAAAAAATTCAATAAAAACAAAATATTGTACAAATAATATTAAAAATAAATAAAAAAATAGTTGAACTTAGACGTGGGTGTATAATGGAGAATACATTTTTATTTGAATTAAATTTGAAATCATATTTTTTTTTAAATTTTAAACACTCAACAACATAACTCTGTACTCTGTCCCACCTCAAACATGATCTCTCCTCACTACGGCCCGACCTTACTTGACCTGGCTTTATTTTTGGTAAATTTAAATTAGAAATTCTGCCCGGATTTGATGGTATCTAATTGTATTTTATACACCTATTGAAAATAAAAAATAAATGATTTTCTAGAGCCAGGCTGCTTTGATGAAGCGCACTCGTGACCACAAGATGATGGTGAAAGAAATCCGTGGCAAAATAAGTTCTTTGAAAACGGAAATCGCTCAAAAACAACAGGAAATCAAAATGGAAATCGACGCGTACAGAATGCTGGACAAGCTGTAAGCGGAAGAGTATAATTTTTTACTAAACCTATTTCCGGCGAAAACAATAATGTACTAGTACAATTATTGCATATAACATTTTATACATTGACACTTGTGTTTCTCCCCAAATATTATTTAGAAGTCTGTGATTAGAAAATATGAATAGGTAAAAAAACATTACCATTTCACACAAGTCCAGATGAGCCACTGTCGGATGTACGGTTTCTTAGATAACCATTTCGGTCATTCTGGTCATTGCAGCTATTGTAGGCAATATAAAAAATATATATTGTATTCTGATCGATTCGAAATAAACACAGAGGCAAACATAACAAATAAGTAAAATTTGTGTAAATAGCCTATTTCTGCCTTTTTATCCATCTCGATTTAGCAACAACAACATTAATACAAATTCTACTTGTTATTTAAATTCCAAATTTCCTCCAAATAATACACTTGAAAAAACATTGTAGTTGAGAGTTTTTTAACACAGTTGGAAAAATTGTAAATGCAATTTTTCTTTGATAAGTCTATTTTTTTTATACGTCAACATATCAGCTAGGGATAAAAAAAATTATTTTATATATTTATTTTAATTTTACAAGTAGCTAAGAAGATAGTTTTATCGATTTTTTTTAGACTGTGTTCAATAAAAATGTTTTATTATAAATTGTTTATAATATATTTCACACATTTTTGTTTTTTAGACTTTTTCCCTACATTTTTTTCTTTTTTTGATTTCATAATATTTTTAATTATGTTTTAAGAATCTTACACATTTGACGAATTTGATTAACATTGCAAAAACGTTTAAAAATGGGGCTTTAATAATATTTCTTTGCTACTTTGGTAAAATTTTTCTAAAAATATACAATTATTCTTGACAATTTTAGATTTATTTCAATCAGTTCTATAAATCATAAATTTCTGTGTATGTTTTATACAACTTTGCATAGATTGTTTGAAGAGGATTTAAA